CGGGGCCGTGCCTGGACCCCCGCCCGGAGGAGGAGGCGGCGGGGGTGGAGGCTTTCCAGGTCCGAAGCCGAGTGCGGTTGGGGGCGGTGGTGGGTCAGCCTGAGCTCCGAAAAGCGCCGTGAAATTCTCCATCGTCCCCTCCGCCCCGGTGCTGTCCCGGTGTCTGGCGTTGGTGATTTTCATTGGTCAATCTTTTCACGGGGTACCGCCCTCTTCTTCCAGGAGCCGCTTACCATTGGATTGCCTCGGGCTCTGCCTACCTTCTTCCGGCAACTACTTCCGTCGCTTTATGAGAACGTTCCGGAAGTGCTATCTAACTGTATTAAATTCTCATATCTCTGCTCGCCACAGTGCATATCCAATAAAATGACTTAGGTGGAAAAAGCGACAGCTAGATTAACCAATAAAGTATCAAAGTCTCTTTTTTCAGTTCTGACCTGCCAGGGAGGCCAATAAGAGATCTACTTCCGGGTCTAGAGGCGGTGCATCTGAGACTAGGCCCAATGGAAGCCTCTGTGTTGGAAGAGGCGGGGCCAGACCTACGACGCTGACGAGCGGCCGGCGCCGCAGGGGCCGAAAAGATGGCGGTCCTGGCACCTTTAATTGCTCTTGTGTATTCGGTGCCGCGACTTTCACGATGGCTGGCCCGACCTTACTACCTTCTGTCAGCCTTGCTCTCTGTTGCCTTCCTACTCGTGAGGAAGCTGCCCCCTGTCTGCGACAGTCTCCCCACGCAGCGCGAAGACGGTAACCCGTGTGACTTCGACTGGGTGAGCGACCCCCGCCTTGGGACCCCGCGACCTTGACTGTCCCTTCCCCTGCGTTTGCTTCCGGAGCCCCAAGTTTCGCCTTTTTGAGAACATCTGAGGTTCCGAGCCTGTAGCGGACCTAACAGACTAAGGAGTGTAGGGCCTGGACTGTCATCGGCCTAAACTTCGTGTTTAAGGTGGGGAAACAGCCGGTTAGCCTGCCCGACAGCCCGGGTCTTCTGACTCTTGAGTGCAGGGTCCTTTCCATCTCGCCATTCATACTCGTCAACAGTCCTACCCAAATGAGACATGTACAGTGTTTTACGGAGCTGCTCGTTATGTAAAGCCTCTTGAGGAACCAGTGAAAAAAAACAAGACAAGTAGTCTTATTCCCGTTTTATTGATGAAGAAATTGATCTCGTCGTGGTTAGGTGACTTGCCCCAGATCACACAACTAGTGACTGGCTAGGACTTGAAACCACTCTCCTGGCCATGGTACCAGCACTTTCTAATCAGCCATTTCTTAATTCAGTTAATATTCCAGAGTGAGCACTGTATGCTAGGCACTATGCTGCATCGTGAGAATGTAAAAATGGATAAAATTGTGAGGCCTACTGAAATGGAATATAAAAAACACGTTGTAAAGAAATATATCTCACGCCTCTTGCGGTACTTCCTGAGTAGAAGTGGGGGGACCACCCGGAAAAATAGGCTGAAGCTCTCCGCCCTCTGCTGTATAGTCGCATCTGTGTTCTAAGGAAGGAGGGTCATCCTGAGTTTTTGTCTTTTTTCCCAAGCCCCAACATGAGCCTTGGCCTTTAACAGAATCCATTCCCTTGCTTTTATTCTCCATCCCTGTTCACTCTTTCAGACTTCCTCTGTCCTTTCCCAGACAGCGTTATTTATTCGCTCAAATGTAGCTATGCTACTTCAAAAGATCCTACTTCTATCTGATATTCTATACCACTTTAAAATGGGACTCAAACATAAGTGGATAGTAACACAGATTTTAATAAAAGTGGGAACCGTTTATACAATTAATTTCTCTTTCATGCTCTTCTAATACTGTAAGGAAAATATTGTAAGACTTTATATTATTATGCTGTTAGAAAAAAATTTTTTTTAATTACTTAGGGTTCGTAGCCAATGTTCGTTTTCTTGGAGTATCTGTGTTTTGCTGATTTACCTTGGTGATTGGGAAGTTAAGATATTAAGATAAATAGTGTTTGCAATAACAAGTAAACTTCAAAATTTCAGTGGCTTAACAGAATAAGTTTATTTCTACTTTATTAGGTAATAGGAAAGAATCAAGCATTTTGCTTTTCCTGTATATATTGTCAGAGTAACCGAATAATTGATACGGGAATGTTGATTTCCTGCTAAAAGATTTTGAGCTAATATATGCAGAAGGAATAGCATTTAAAAATCATGTAGCATCCCTAATGAAATAATACATCTATGCAATGATCATCTAAAACCATCAGTTGAAAGGTTGATATGTCCTCTGGAGTGATTCAGTGGGGAGTACCTCGCACCTCCTATAATGTATTCTTGGCAGGAGGTTTGGATCTCATTGTATTCAAACCTCTAGATTTCATTACCACTTTACAAGAAATATGAGAAATAGAGGATCATCATTGTCAGAACATGTTCCATGAGTATGCAGGCAGCCAAATCCAAGAAAGCCAGAAAGTTGACAGTACAAATGGTCCAATGTTTTCAACAGATGAATGGTGTGGGGTTAAAAGGAAGAGCAGGTATCCTTTAGAGAATAAGGAAGACCAAAGAAACATATCAGCCAAACGCAGTTTGTGGATCTTGCTTGCTCGTTCCTAATTTGAACAAACAACTGTACAAAGTTGTACAAAATCTAATACTTGTTCTTACCCTCTGAATTTGAGTAAGGACCAGGTATTGGATAACAGTAAGGAGTTATTGTTAATTTTGTTTGGTATGATAATATGTTTGTTTTTAAAAAGTAATGCTTATATGTAAGAAATACACACGAAAGTATTTAGAAGTGAAATGGTATAGTTGGAATTTGCTCTAAGTTTCTCCAGCAAAAGAAATGGGTAACTTAGATGAAATGGAACCATACTGGCAAAATATTACTATTGAAGCTGAGTAACAGGGGTCCGTTAAGGTATTGTAGGGGACAGGAAAATATTTTTCCCTTGACCTTTCTGAGGTCTTGCTTGAGACCCCTGTAATAAAAGACAGATTAAAGGCAATTAAAAGACAACCAAGTTTATTAACATGTATACCTTATATACATGGGAGATAACCCAGGGAACAGTAACTCAAAGGGTGGCTTAGAACTCCCACTTATGTAGTATCTTCAACAAAGAACAATACATTTGTGGAGCAATGACAGAACAAAGGAAAGCAGTTTTAGGCTTCCAAGAGCAGAATACTGTGGAAAGGTAAACTAATGGCAGATAAAGACTAGTTTGTTACGTAGATTCCTCTGGTGCTGTCTCCAGGCTGATAATGGTCTAAAGTTATCTCCTTGATTAATTTTGTCCTTGGTAGAGAAGGTTGGAGGAACCAGTTTGAAATTTTATGTCCTACTTTTAGACAAATAGTGGGAGGGCAGGGTGCTTTTCTTTATCTACTTCTCATTTGCCTTCAGGCTTAAAATAATCCTTATGCCAGAGTGGCATATTTTGGGGGTGACATATTCTGCTATTCTTCAGTATCCTCTCTACTTTTGTGTATGTCTGAAAATTTCCTTAATAAAAGGTTTAAAAACAATAAATAAACAAGCAGAACCACCAAAGGGGTTCTGATTTATATAGTTATTCTGGAACCCAGTCTTATTTCTGTCTTCAGCCAATGGCTTTAAGGTCATCCTAGCATCATCCAGCAAGCAGATGAAGAAAAAGCTGGATTACGAGGGCATACCCTTTCTCAACTGCCTGGGCACAGAAATGGCACGTTACTTTCAGTCACATTCCACTTAGCAGTACTGATCACACAGTTCTGCCTAGCTGCGGGGAGACTGAGGAAGTCTAGCTGCAGTATGCCCAGGAGGAAAAGGAAATACGGTTTGGAGTATACATGGCCAGTCTTTGTCACAGACCCATTCTCTAGAGTATATTCCTTTTAGTCCTACCTTTGATCTCCCGAATGGCCACGTTTGAAAAATTTATCTTTCCGCAATTACAAGTGTCAATTCTAATCCAGTTTCATTCTTGGAAGCTCTTCCTAATTTCTGTTCAGATGTAATATTTAGTAAGGTCTGTTACATTCCCAACCCCCTATTTTACATGTCCATATCTAACTCCAGTCAGGCTTTTTATTGGCGATTGAGGCTGAGAACCTAGGTGCCTGACTGTTAACTGTAAATCGAAGTTGATTAGTTCTGTCTGAAATAATGATTTGGGTCCTTGTAGTATAAACAGAAAGATACGGAAGGCCTTAGACCATCCAGTCTGTAGTTGGCCCTCCTCCCATGCTTTCTCTCACCAGGTGCTTATTCTTCATTGCAGTCTTTACTCTTTGAAATTATCTTGTTTGTTTTCTTTGTCATGTTTATTTTGTGTCTCACTTGTTCACATGGAGCTTACATTCTAGAAGATGAGAAAGAACTATAAGCCAAGGGTACTGAAAAGGACCTGTGAGAGCTTTGAAAGGGCTCCTTCAGCTCTCAAATTATATTAAAGGTGCATGGATTAACACTATGAATATTAGGTAGAGAAGAATGATTTAACTTAAAACCAAACAAATGAAATATGTTGTATTAATGGAGTATTACTAAGAAAGTTTCCCTGGAAAAGTTTTATTTTACCAAGGTCATACTGAGTTGCTTGTAATATCTTACAGTTTTACACCATATACTTTATACAGCTTTGTCATACCCATTGTCTTGTTTAATCCCCACAACAGCATTTTGAAATAGATATTGTTCGGTCAAGTAAACCAAAGCTCAGAGGTTAAGTGACTTTGCTGAAAGGCACCAGCCAGCCTGTGCAGGAGTAGAACCTGAAGCTCTCTGACTGCTGTTTTCCCCACGACACCTTAGCTGACTCCACTTATTTCTCTATTGTTACTGTTCCCCATTTGGATCTCTGCTGGTTTTTATTACCAGCCTGGGTCCTTTGCTCACACAAGTCATTTCTGTTGATGGCATTCCTGTCACTTTCTGTTCCAGAGAGAAGTGGAGATCCTGATGTTTCTCAGTGCCATTGTGATGATGAAGAACCGCAGGTCCAGTAAGTGTAGCCTGCTTCTCAGTCTCTCAGGGTTAGGCCTAATGACCTCCATGGTGCTTTCGTTCATGTTACGAGAGGGGTATTGTTTGTGAACTTGTCCCTCATTTCATGCCAAGGCTGAATTTGATCTTGGACTTTTAGCCCCTTCCCCCCTGCCATTTCAAAGTACTCCAGGAAGAGGGGCAAATAATAGGACACAGGACCCTGCAGCCCAGCCTGACCTGTGACATCTTTGTGTTTCAGTCACTGTGGAGCAACATATAGGCAACATCTTCATGTTTAGTAAAGTGGCCAATGCAATTCTTTTCTTCCGCCTGGATATTCGCATGGGCCTGCTTTACATCACACTCTGCATAGGTAAGGAGACTGTAAGACTTTTTTGTGGGAACGGAATTCTAACCCCAAACCACATTCTCCATACCCTTCTTCCACATCTTGTACCTGATTAATCATGTGTGTGGCTCAGCTGGTAAGAATCTATGGAGATTTTATTTTAAGAGGAAGGGGGTGTGTCAGTGGTCTACGTATGCCCACAAAATGCACTCTTTCGTGCTTGAACTCTTTGAGTTGGTTTGAAAGTAAATCCCTTTCCCAAGGCCTTATATGTTTCCTCTGACACCTTTTTTCTGTGTTTAGTGTTCCTGATGACATGCAAACCCCCCCTGTACATGGGCCCTGAGTACATCAAGTACTTCAATGATAAAACCATTGATGTGAGTGCTCTTCCTCCCTTCTGTTTCTTGGGTCCCTTGTGGGTTGATTTTGTAGTTGTGCTCTCTTCTCAGCAGGAGGAACAACAGTGCTTCAGAACTGTGGTTCATTTTGGGATCTAGGGGAGAGAGGTGTGGGGAAGCCAGGATGAGGAATTAGATGCTAAGGTCTGAATCTTTCCAGGAGCCTGTGTGATCCAGTTCACTGTTTCTTCTCTGTGTGTGGCAGGAAGAGCTGGAGCGGGACAAGAGGGTCACTTGGATTGTGGAGTTCTTTGCCAATTGGTCTAATGACTGCCAATCATTTGCCCCTATCTACGCTGACCTCTCCCTCAAGTGAGTAGTACAAAGGGAGGGATAATGGAAATTGTACCTTCCCCTCTCATAGTTTTTGGCCTTGAGTTTTTGCACATTGCAGCCAAAGACACTCCTATCCCCAACCCCCAACATCTGTACTTCTACTTTTGTTGACTCATTCCCTCTTCTTTCACTATGTTAAGTCATATATTCTTCTCAGGTACAACTGTACAGGGCTAAATTTTGGGAAGGTGGACGTTGGACGCTACACTGATGTTAGTACACGGTAGGTAAAGGCCTGGGCAGGGAATCACTTTGAGTGATGGATACAGGTGCATTTACTGAGTACCTTCTGGGCCCTGTAGGTACAAAGTGAGCACGTCACCCCTCACCAAGCAGCTCCCTACCCTGATCCTGTTCCAAGGTGGCAAGGAGGTCATGCGGCGGCCACAGATTGACAAGAAAGGACGAGCTGTCTCTTGGACTTTCTCTGAGGTATAAAAGAGTAGTTTGGAGAAGGGTGTAGAACAGTGGATGAGTTTTGGAGCCCAACCTGTGTTTGATTCCTAGTTTGGCTACTTGCGCACAGGCTTTGAGAGTGTGGACTAGTTATTAGACCTCATTCGTGAATTCATTTAGCAAATTTGTATTACATTTCTACCATCTACCAGACTTGTTAGTATGGGGGAACAATTATTAGTGAAGATTCAGTCCCAGTGACTCTTGTATCTACAGTCTACAGGCCTTAGGTTCCTTAGCAGTAAGTTGGAGACAGGAGCACTTGGCTCACAGGCTGTTTTGCAGATTACATTAAATAATGTAGCTATAATTTTTGGCACAGTGTTTGGCACATAATAGGTACTTAAACATTGGTTGACTTTTCCATGTACCCAAAAAAGGAGAGCTAGGTCAGAGTAGATTCCTGACCTTTGCTTCCTCCTTTCCTAGACTGTGTCTAAATACAGTCGGCCCTTGAACAGATGGGTTTGAACTATGCAAGTCTGCTTATGTGGATTTTCTTCAATGGTAAATACAGTGCTATACGATCCATGTGGTTGGCTGAATCCACACATGCAGAACCACGGATTTGAAGGAACTGGGATACAGAAGGCTGACTATTAAGTTATTGGTGGATTTTTGACGGCGAGAGTTGGTGCCCCTAACCACAGCATTGTTCAAGGGTCAGCTGTGCTTCCCAGACTCTGAACTCTCTCTTCCAATCTGAACCCTGATGTGTGCATCTCTTTGGCACAGGAGAATGTGATCCGAGAATTCAACTTGAATGAGCTGTATCAACGGGCCAAGAAGCTATCAAAGGCTGGAGATAATATCCCCGAGGAGCAGCCTGTGGCCCCAGTGCCCACTGCAGTGCCAGATGAGGAGAGCAAGAAGGACAAATAGGATCCCTGCCTTCAGTGCTTCCTCTCCTGTGGATCCCAGGCGCCTCTGAGGCCCTGCCCTTTCTGTAACCACAAGCCTTGCCTGAGGCCTTGGCCTTTTATTTATATTTTCGTTGTTTGGCTATGCCTAGGTAGGGCAGGGTATTGCTTCTGATTTTTAAGAGGCATTCAGGGAGATGACAGGTACCCTCCAGGAAGGCCTCCACTTCTCTGGCCTGCTCCTTTACTGGAGGGAGAGCAAGATCTTACATGGTAGGGGGGAAATGCTTTCCCTCCAAGCTTGGGCCAGTGTTTCAGCTGCTGTGTGCCACTCACAGATCTCCACCACACTCTGGTTTCATTATTCCTTAGTGGCCCTACACAGCCTACTTAGATTAGGTTAAACCCTATATAAAATGCCGAGATGCAGAGTTAGTGCTGAGATTTTTTTTCCCTCAAGGAGCCTTGTTTCTCCAGGCCCTTCTGGCTTGGTCTGTGCCCTGCATTAAAAAGTATAAGCCTAACTGTTATTGGTCCCAAGGAGAAACCTCTAACCAGAGTTTTCTCATTGAACATGGTCTTGAATAACCTCTCTACTTTATGGAGACTGGGAGGAAGGGAAGTAGACCTTTCAGACTTACTTTGTGTGGTGGGACCTACAGGGTTGGAGTTCTCTTACCCTCCTTGCTACTCCCTATACCCAGTTGATCGTTTTCCATAATAAAGGGACTGGCATTTACTTTTGATTGTGCCTTTGTGTGTTATTCTTGTATGAGAAATGCCTGGCAAGTGCAGAGGAATCACCGTCGTCTCCTTAATTCGAAAGGCCATCATGAGTAGTTTCACCAGATGCCACGCATTGGTCCCCAGGATGGGGGAGAGTTGAAGTTTTCGTTTCCCTAACCGCAGAGTTAAATTGGAGTATAACGTGGAGTTAGTTTGGGATTGGCCCGCGGGTTCCAGGCAGGAGGTTTGGGTAGGCGCGAGGTCATGGTGCACACCATTTAGCTGGCCGCGCGGTTGCAGAAAAGCCTGTGAAGCTTGGCTCGTTTTCTGAGCTACCCCGTCGCCCCTGCCGCCAGCGCTGGTGGTTCGGTCTGGCGCGCCCCCGCCTCTGCGTGCAGAGTGCCTGTGCCCGAAGGTCCCGCCTCCAGACCACGTGTGCGCCCTGCGCCACGCTTTCTGCGGCTTTGGGCAGGTTTTGTTCCGGGAGCCGGATTTCTGGCCCGCGGTTTGGCGCTCGGAGCGGGCCCGGCCTCTGCCCGGTGACCGCATCTCCACCCTATTCCCGCCCTAGGTCGGCTCGGTTCCCAGCCGGGCCCCAGGCGCCATGGCTCCCCGCGGGAAGAAACGAAAGGCCGAGGCGGCGCCGGTCCCGGCGGCCGAGAAGCGGGAGAAGCCGGCGAGCGGCCAGAAGGGAGTGGAGGAGACGAGTGTCGTTATCGAGCATTGGTGAGGGGTCTGGGGAGTACCGGGGGCGGGCAGGGGCGCCGCAGATCGACGGCCCCAGCCTCTGACCTTCCCCATCTCTAGCACGAGCTGACGCGTCTACGGGCGCAACGCCGCGGCCCTGAGCGAGGCGCTGCGCCTGGAGGCCCCGGAACTTCCTGTGAAGGTGAACCCGACCAAGCCTCGGAGGGGCAGCTTCGAGGTGACGCTGCTGCGCCCCGACGGCAGCAGTGAGTGGGGCCCTGGTCTGGAGCGCGGGGCGGGGAGTTGCTTAGGTCCCAGGCGAGGAAGGTCGGTCTCAAACCGCCGCCACCTGATGATTTCGGGGAGATGTTGGTGGATTCTAAAGTGACTTCGCTTTCCGCGGTCTCTCCCCAGGTGCGGAGCTCTGGACTGGGATTAAGAAGGGGCCCCCGCGCAAACTTAAGTTCCCTGAGCCTCAAAAGGTGGTGGAGGAGCTGAAGAAGTGCCTTTCGTAGGGAGGTTTGGGCGGAAGTCCTCACTCTTGAGGTTTGAAATGGGGAATGAGGGGGAATGAGTTGATTTTGTGCCTATTTGTGAAGCAGCCCTTAGTGTTACCCCTCATTTCACACAGGACATACATTTTCATAACTCGTTTCTACTCTCAGGATTTCCTCTAGTGGGAATACCTCTTCCCCTTTTTCTTGGTGGGAAAAACTGAAGTCTGCAACAACAACAAAACTTACTCCTATCCAGGGAGCCCTATGCTAACTACCCTGTTTCATTGCACCGTCTTTGAGCCTAAGACGTGGAATACCGGTGGTAATGTAAATAACTCTTCATAGAAATGCAATTTGTGTCCTTAGGGGATGCAGTTAATTGTTGCCCTCGGGGTATGGACCAGTTTATATTTGTTAAAAAAACGAATCTTCTACATCCCTGATGGCAGGTTTTGATTCCTTGAACCGGTTACCTCATTTATGAGTGAAACAAAATCATTCACACCTGTTTTATTTGTATGAGTCGTGACTTCCCCCTTCTACCAGCCAAATCTGTATTAACTTCAGGAATACTCCTGTCCTCTTGTGTTGTTACCAGTGTGTTTTTTCTGTTATAACCCCGTGAGATAACCCTGCAGTATGGTACCCTCACTCCTGGTCACGGGATCTGACCTTGTCTTTATCCCTAGTGTTTCATACAGTGCTGTGGCGTGTTGTCAGGACTTGATACATTGAGTGAGATTTGGGGGGAGGGCGCAATCCTTGAGCTCTCCTGGGTTTGTGGGTTTAAAGGTGGGGGACATGTCGTCTTCCTTGGACTGACTATATATGATTGCCTGGATCCCTTCTCTAACTTATCTTCCCCTCTCCTTTTCACAGCCTCGGTCCCTGGTGATGTTGGAGCATTTATGATGGGACATGGCCAAACTTCAGTCATGTACCTGAAGCCATGGTTTCTTCCCCTCCAGAAATGATGGTTCAGTAGTGAGGCAACCCTCCAGTAAGGCATTGAAAAGTTCCTGGATTTTGTTTAATAAAAATTAAAGTATCTGCGTTGATATGAAAATATGGGTCATAAAGTAAAACTTAATGTTACGTCAAGGGACGCGGCAAACCAGCCTTATTGGATTGGTCCCCCTTGTGTTTTTCATAGCCTAAGGTTACCGATTAACCTGGAACTCCTATGGTCCTGTTGAGTATCTGAAATACTTGTAAAAACTATGGGGGAAAAGTAATTAATTTATTTTTTAAAAAGCAACTGTCTTTCAACTCACTTCTTGGAAGTGATGATGGAAGTACGTTTTCCTGGCCCCTGCGGAGGTTTTGGCTTACCATACTGGCAATGAATAAGCCACACATGTAGGTACTGGACAACATCCCGTCATGCCCACCCCACTTAGTGTTTCACCTCAGCACTGCTTCATACCTTCTGGAACATTTTCTCTATACAGAATGCCCACCACAGAGAGTGGTCTTTCTCAACTTTTCCTAAATAAGTGGTGATTAGATGCCTCATGACTTGGGAGACCTGGCTTTGGCTATTACCTATGACCCACTAGAGTTGGCAACCACACGGTTTCTTGTTTTGCTTGTTTGTTACTAACTGGAAAATAGATTATAAAGAAGTAAGGCAGTTCAAGTTCATAATTTTCTAACCATGGTATTACTTCTGCCTGGCTCCAAAAGCCTGGGGAAGGAAGGAGAGGCCCTATAGAGAGAGCTAGGGACACAACTGCCCCTTGTGCTAAGAGGACAGGGCATGTGCTTGCCTGTCAGTGTACCTTTTGCTAGTCAACATTTGGCCCACCCTCCCAGTGCCTCCAACCTGCCTCCCCACTCCACTACGTTAGTATGTCTACCTCTGTTTCTGACTCTGAGGAAGGGTCGGGCCATACGGAGGGAATATCCGTGGGCGCAGTCCCCTCTGACGACCAGTCCACCACGTCAATCTCTTCCTCTTCAGGGCTAGCAGGAAGTGGACCCAGCAACTCAGAGTTGCCAGATACCTCCTTGCCTGCTTCTGGAGCAGGGTGTAATACCTCATCCATAGGTAGGGACACTTCCAGCCCAGTCTCCACCCAGTTTGAACAGGGAGGTGAGAGGTCCCCATAGGACCTTTGGGGAGGGTCAAGGGAGTCAGTGTGGAGAAGCTTGTCTCTCTGACCATCCAGTGACTGGGAGCTGGTAATTTCCAGGTCTGGAGACCAAGAGCTTTCCACTGAAAGCACCTCCCCTTCACTCGTCTCTGAGGGCATGACAAGGGGGCTCAAGGGTTCAATTGGCTCTTTGTTCTCAGAGGGCAAGACAAGGGGGCTAAAGGGCTCAATTGGCCCTTTGTTCTCACCAACAGGTTCCTTTTCCAGTCCTGCAAGCTCCCTGGGCCATAGTTCCATGTCTGGCAAACACCATTCTTCCCCTTCTATCCAGTTCTTTCCTGTTTCTGTCAGGTGGTAACTAGGGGTTCTGCAGCCCTCAGGCCGGGGACTCTCCAGAGACCCCATGGGTGGCTCAATGTCTGAACCACAGAGCATGAAGTCCAGGATCTCCTCCAGCTCACTGGCGGCGGCAGCACTGGTGATTCGGTACTCCTCGGCTTCACAGGGCTGCCCGAGCAGGGCTGTGTCAAACGCACAGGGCTCTCTGCAGTCAACAGCCAGTCCAGGTTCCTTCCCTGCCATCTCTGGGCTGGACCTGAACTCAGACTTCACCACTGGGCGGTGTGGGGAGCGGCTAGAAGAGAGCAGGATGTCTTGCAGCCTAGAGCACCCTGGGGAGGCCTCACACAGGTCTGTTCTGGCAGGTGACGTTTCCTGCTTGTTAACTGAGGGTGGCTGCGTCCCTGGAGGCTCTTCCCAGTCTTCAAGTTCTGGGATCTGAGGGTTATCTTGAGGGTTTCTGAGGGGAGGCTCCTGCACCACCTCCCAGCAGGTGCCATTGACAGTCTTGCGCAGTTTCACTCTTCCAACCTGCCCCTCTTCTGCAGAGTCCGAGTTAGGTGCCCTGACTTCAGGGCTCCGCTTCTTGCTCCCGCTCGTCTTTCCGAGGCCAGATGGGCTTGAGGTGCTCTGCAGAGGACTAGCTCGCTCTGTTTTCAGCTTGTCCTCTGGCGCTCCTTTCTTTATACTCTTCTGCCGCCAAAGACGCCGGCCAGGGGCTGTGGGCACTGACCTGGGTCCACTTAAAAGGCTGGCAGGCTTGGATATACAGACATCAGGAGAGGGCTTTGAGCGACTCAGCCTGATCTTTCTGGGCAACAGCTGCTCATCCACAGAGGGGTACAAGCTGGGTGGGGAAAGTGCTGTAGGACCAAGGGCAGGGTCACTCTTGTTCTCCTTATGTCCCTGGCTGTGGCTTGATGGTGAAGAGCTTTTTTCCTGTGGAGCTGGGCAGGCTCTGGCCTTCCTCTTGAGCAGAAGAGTGCCAGACAAGTTCTCCGCGTTCTGTCGGTTGCTCTTCTCCTGGGACCTGTCTTCCTTCCCCGAGATCTTCAATCTCACTGTCTCAAAAGAACAGGGAGTCGGGGTAACAGGCAGTGGAGTTCGCAGGCAGGGGCTGGACGCCACCACCCTGGCAGAGATAGGTGTAGCACTGGGAGGCTGTAAGCACTCCCGGTTCAGTCTTCGGCCCTCAGGGGCCTTCACCAATTTCCCACCCTCTAGTTGAAGGGATTCGAGCTCAGATACCCGGAGCTGACGAGCAGCAGAAAGCACATCCTGGGCTTCTTCTCGAGATACTTCCATCTCTGAGGTGTACAGGAAGTCCACGAGTTTCCTAAGTGTCCTGATCTTTAGGCCTCCCAGCTCCAACACCACCTTCCGACCCTGAGCTGGCCTCTC